AGCAGCACCACAGGCCAGCCCACATGACATGGTGCTGAATATGCTGAGCTGCTTCATGGAGAGCTTCAAAGATCACATACTCTCCTGGAGCCAAGCAGCAGGCCCCTAGCCCCAATAGAGCATTGACAATGACAGCAGAGTCTTTGGGCAAACCATGCTGCAACCAACACAAGCTTGCTTTGCCCTCCAAAGAATCTTTGGGCACACCATGCAGCAACCAGCAAAGGCTTGCTTTGCCTGCACCTCCACAGAATCAGCCTGCGCCTGCTTTGCCTTTGCCTGGCAAGCAAGAGCAGGAAGAAAGCCCAAAGGATGAGGCCATGCCCCAGCAGGGCAGCAGTGACAGGCAAGGGCCTGCACACAATGATTTGGAATCCTTTGAGAATGCAGCTTTTGATGCTTTGCAAGCCAGGGCAAAATCCCAGAGGGCCCCTTGCATGAAGAAGCCTGCAGCAGCTAGAGGAAAGGCGCGAGCAAAGGCTAAGGCTGCAAGCAAAACCCAGCATTCCAAAGCAAAAGTGGCAGGGCCACAAACAAAGAAAGGAAAACAACCAACAGGGAAATTGCAGGGCTGGGGGTGCACCAGGTGCAGGGCCTCTATGGCTGGCTGTGGCACATGCTCCAAGCCAGGGTATGATGGGAAGAAGTTCTACAGCAAGGCTGAGTACAAGGCCTACACGAAGAAGAAATCAGCGGGCAAGAAGTGATTGGCCATCACGGGGTCACCTGGGCCAAGTACATATGCTGAATGTGAGCATTCTGCTATGCATGTGTACCAAGCTGTACAGTGGCATGGCTTGTTCAGTTGCCAGGCACTCAGTGAGAAGACATCCTGCTGGGTTGAAAACAAGCCTGGCGCGCTGAAGCTTTTTTGCTAGGCAATGGGCAAGGTGGGCTGCTTGGCAGCCCAAGACTGACATCTTGCTGCGCAAATTGCTGAAGGGTGGGCCACCTGTTGGAAAAGCCGCACTGCAAGCTGTAGCCCTAGAGCTTGGAAGCAAAAAGCGTTCTTGCAACTTGGCGCTCACATGCATGGTGTAGCTACATGCAGGCTTGGCATGTGACAAGCCATACCTTGCGTGTGCCATCATGGGGAAGCCCCCAAACACAGGCTTGCGTGAGCATGGCAGCCACTAGAGAAAGGCAAAGCAAAGGCAACCATGGAGAAGCAAAGGCTTGCATGGGGAAGCCGCAAAGGCTTGCGTGGGCAACCATGGGGAAGCCCCCAACAGGCTTGCATGTGCATGGCAAGAGCAACAATGGAGACGCCCCACCATGGAGAGGCCCCAAGCAGAGGCTTGCATGGGCCATCATGGGGAAGACCTCAGTACAGGCTTGCATAGACATGGCCAGGCAACCATGAAGAAGCCTCCAACAAAAACATAGCAAAGGCAACCGTGGAGAAGCCTCAGCAAAAGGCTTGCGTGGGCATGGTCAAGTCAACCATGGGAAGCCTGCAACAAAAGCTTGCATTGGCACAGCAAATGAAGCCATGGAGAGGCCCCCAACAAAGGCTTGCATGGGCATGGCAAGGTAACCATGGAGAAGCCACTGGAGAAAGGCAAAGCAATGGCAACCATGGAGAAGCCTCAGCAAAGGCTTGCGTGGGGAAGCCACAAAGGCTTGCAGGCTTGCGTGGGCAACCATGGGGAAGCCCCCAACACAGGCTTGCACGTGCATGGCAAGAGCAACAATGGAGAAGCCCCGCCATGGAGAAGCCTCAGCAGAGGCTTGCATGGGCCATGATGGGGAAGACCTCAGTACAGGCTTGCATAGACATGGCCAGGCAACCATGAAGAAGCCTCCAACAAAAACATAGCAAAGGCAACCATGGAGAAGCCTCAGCAAAAGGCTTGCGTGGGAGAGCCGCAAAGGCTTGCGTGCCCACGGCCAAGTCAATCATGGGAACAACATGGAGATATCAACAAAGGGTTGCATGGGCACCTGTTATCAGGTTGACACATTGAAGCCACAAACCTTGCAGTCATTTGTGGTGATTGGCATGTGCAGCACAACACTTTTGGCATGCCAAGCATAGCTTATGCAGTTGCAGCTTGCAGGTTCTGTTGCATTCTTGGCTGCAAACCACAAGCTTGTAGTGGAGGGCTCCAAGCAGGCATTCTACAAAGCGCACATGCCCGCACAGTGCTTTTGGCAATTGGCTGCATTGGGGCAATGCTGTTGATGGGTCTTGACAGGCTTTTCAGCACGTCACTGCATAGGGGGCCATCCTTAAGAAGAAGCATGTTTTGGGGCAGTGGAGGGTTTGCGATTTCCTTCCCACAATTTGCCATGAACCAGAAAAGCTGCGCTTCTTCCTCTTCCACGAGGCCTGCCAAGCTGCAAAGGTTCCTGGATTGCAGGAATTCAGCCAGCTATGTGTCAAAGTCAGCCTTGCAGGCTATTCTGGAGGATATAGCTGAGCATGGCAAGCCAGAGCTGACTAGCAGCAAAGCCATGAAACAAGCCACCCAGCAGCAGCTGGCAACTTGGAATGCCTATGGCCCACTGCTGGTGTCCAGTAATGTCACTGGTGTGGACGGCGCTGTCCACCAATTGCTGCATTGCAATTTGCACTCTTTGCTACATGGCTGCTACAAGCAGGGTGGCTTCTTCAAGGATTTGGTGGATGAGACTTTATTGAAGACGCCCAGCTCTCCAAGCCACCCATGGCACCTGGTTCTCTATTCAGATGAGTGTTGGCCTGGCAACCCTTTGAGTGCCAAGCTGCCAAGAAGAGCTGGTGCACTTATGTCAGCTTCAAAGAGTTTGAGCAGCAAAATCTGTCAAAAGAAGATGCATGGCTACCTGTTTTGTTCCAGCCATCTACTGTTATTGGTGCTTTGTCAGGGAACATGAGCCAAGTGGTGAAGGTGCTTTTGGCAACTTGTGTGCATTAGCACTTTTTTGCTTCCATGCTAACAGGTGGGTCTGCTACTTTGGCGCTGGGCCTGTTCCTATTTGCAGTTTTGTGCCAGCACCCAGGAGCACATCTTTGCTAGTGGGGTGGCCAGCCCCCAAGATGTGGGCTTGCTTTTGCAAAGCCATTCAGGAGGCCACTGCAGACTCCACTTTACATTTGGCATTATGGTGCAGGATGGCGCTTCTCAAAAATATTGCCTGTGCGTAAAGGGCGACAGTGGTTCCAAATTTTGTGCTAAGTGCAGCAATGTCTACTCCATTGCACATATTGACAGCTCATTCAATGACGATGAAGACTTTGAAGGAGGCGTTTGCATGTGGCTCAAGAAGGAAGACTTGGTTCTGACTAGTGATGAAGACTTCTACAAATCCTGGGACAGGCTGGCAGAAAGGCTTGGGTCCTGCAACAAGATTGAGTTTGAAAGGTGGCAACAAGCCCAAGGCTTTACATATTCTGCCCACAGCCTACTATCTTCAGTGCCTTTGAGGTCTGTGGTGAAGCCACTCACTGCATACATGCATGACTGGATGCATTGCCTTTGCCACAATGGCTGCTTGAACATTGCTTGCTTTTTGTTAATGGATGCTTTGAACCAGGAACTGAAAACATGGTCCAATTTGAAAGCTATGCAAAGCTGTGGCAATTGCCAGCTGCTAGCAGGCAGGTTTGCTCCAGCTTGGGCCATCTGTTCTATTCCAAAAGGATTGAATCCTACAAGCAGGGCAAAAAAATAAATGCATGGCCAGTGAAATGCTCTGCTTATTTCCAGTTGTACAGCACTATGCGCTCACTATTGGCAAACATGCCTCTTCTTGCCTTGGTGCTGTTGATGCTTTTATGGCTGGTGCCTTCTTTGTGGAATTACTGTTGTCGCTGCCCCATGGAGTTGTGGCTCCAAATGATTTGGACAGGGCAGCTGAGGCAGTTCTACACAAGTTCAAAGCTATTGGCTGGGAAAATATTTGATCAAGAAATTCCACTGGCTTTTGCACATGGGTGATTCCTTGGCTGTGCACAAAATCCTCATTCCATGCTTTTGCATGGAAAGGAAGCACAAGCAGGTCACCAAAGTGGGAGTTGGCATCACCAACATGCAAGCCTACCCAAGGACATGCCTAGAAGAACTTTTGTCTAAGCAGCTTTGGAGGCTTCAGCGTGGAAGCAGTGTTGTTTTCAAAGGCAAGCCGCATTTGGAGCAGGAAGGCAAAGCCCCTGCAGCTTTCAAGGAGTATGTCACTAGCATGTTCCCAAATGCCTTGAACAGCAACATTTTCAAGAGCAAAACCATTTGCTTGGCTACTAGAGGTAGTGCCAGCAAAGGTGACTTGGTGCTTGTATCTTCAGCATCAGGCCTTGGGTGTGGCAAACTGCTATGTTGTTTCCAGCTGTCCCCTGAGGATGTGCGTGCTTGCCTGCACAAGTTTGCATTGCTGGAGAATGGTGGAACTTTTGCAAAATGGCAAGAGCTGCCCATTGAGAAGAACACCATAGTTGTGACAGCCAATGACATCATGTGTTCAGTGACATGGTCCAGCACCAAGAATGGTGTGGTCACTTTGCTTCCTCTGCACTTCAGGTCTTGAGCTCCCGGCCAAAAAGGAGCTTTGCGCGCATACTGCTTGGAAGCATGGTTGCGTTGTGCATATATGTCTGAAGAAAGTTTGGTCAATGTTCAACTGACAATTTTCGTTCATTTGGTTGCCATTGTGTCTTCACCGCCTGATTGCAAGACATATGTGGTTGCAAAACCGCGCAGCTGAAGCAAGCAACTTTCCAAATAAGCATTTCATTTTGTGGTTCTGCGCCTATAAATCAACCCAAGATAAACACTTAGCTAGACACTTGCTATTTGTTTACATGCTTTATCTAAAAGCCTTAATGGCTTGCCAAAAGTTATGTAATGTTTTGTTGTGTGCATAACCTGTTAGTAGTGCCACAGCTCACCAAAGTACCCACCCATGTCTCTTGGAGTCTTGGACATTGCCAAACCCAAGCCGGTGGAATCCTAAGTTTTTTCGCGGATTTCCAGACCGTTGAGCAAACTGAGTCAAAGAGGACAGCGACGCGGCCGCTTCGCCTGGCGGAGCAAACCGCCAGTTGCCAGGCATCGAAGATGGACTGCACTTCCCGGAGGCGCTCCTGGTCCAGCCACCGCCTCATGCGAAGAATTCCTCGCCAATTATTTTGTCTTGGGTTTCTGTTGAATGCCTCAAACAAAGTCGTAAAGAGTACCAAGTCCAGAAAAAATGACACCCCGTTCCTGGCAGTGTTTGGCAGGTGGGAGAGTGCCAAAGCTAAAGGGCAGCCTTCAAGAACAGGAACCAGCTCAAATATGCTGATTGAAATTCTCAACAAAGGCTTTCAAAAACACTTCAAGTACGGTCATCCGAACCTGCGTGATGAGTGGCGGCAGTCTGAAACACCACTAATACAGGAGCGACCGTCAATACACAAAAATGTACCCCAAGCATGTTGGAAAGTGGTGACTAAGCCCACTTTGTCATTGGTCCGTTGGTCAGCGTGCCCGATGTCCTTCCCTTTACAACGCTAGGTGTTGCCCGATGCAAATCACCAGCTCTTCGCACATTTCCGATAATTTTGCAGCGCCAGTCATCTCTCAAACAGCATCCGGACTCAACAAATGGTAGTCTTCAGGAAAACCCGTGTCGATGTGTGATGTTCGTTGAACGCTTGAGGCAGATGCCCAATCCCCAGTTTGAACATAACACGGCTTCACTCCGTCCAAGTGTAAACGGCCAACCAACTGCTCGGCAAGGCCATGGGCTTTGCCATCTCTGCCCCGGGCTCAATGACGCTGGCAGCTCGCTCCTTTCCTGAGCACAAGGGGAAAGCATCGCATGTCTGACTGCACACATTGCTTCGAGAACGCTCCTTTGCCCAGTGTCAAATGTGTCTTGTTAGGTCAGGGGTGTCGACTCTGCAAGTCAGGAAGTTGGATGCTGCAGCGCCTGCATCGGATGGGCTCAAGGCTCAAGTGCTTTCAGCTTCTTGCTGACGCTGGGGATGTTCAAACAACATGTGCACTGCGCACTCTGCTAGGCCAAGAGCATGGCTTGCTTTCAGAAGGCAGGAAAGTCTCGAATGCCGATCCGAGCTGCCAGGTTGTTCTTGAGGTTGTGACCGCCAAGCCCGCCCACTGAAACGATGGCCATTGGCACTGTGGCTCTGAGGCAAGCGCTCTCTCGCCGACGTCTTTGTGCCTAAGCCGGGCGAGGCGACAACAAACCTGCGAAAGTCCACAGCTCGAAACGGCCTTTCGGTGACGAGGCATAGATGCTGCAATTGTTTGGGGATACCCCAAAATGGTGTGTATCCTTTTTGGTCTCGCTATACCAACCACAGAACCTGGGTGCCCTCCAACAAAGTCACACCCATATCTTTGGCAAGCAGGCAAGTACGCAATGCAATCAACTCGGAGTTCGACTGGCAATTCCCTGAGCAGTCTGACAAGCTTGCTAGCAGGCTTGGGCGATTAAATATGCTACAAGAGCCTACCGTCCGTGCTCTTTTACGAGATAGCTACTAAGCAGTATGTTGATGGAAAGCTGAGTAAAGGGATCGGTATGCTTGCTCGGTTGAACACTAGTTCGAATAGGTTCGAAACCGTGCTCACTTGCATATCAAGTAGCGGTCTCTTGCAGCGCAGCTTGTCGCCAGGATGACAAGTAGCTGGCCACACAACCTCAGCATTCCATGCTCGGCATTCCGTTTAACAGTCGTGGCCAAACTCACATCTCTCGGGTCGATACTGTATTCCAGACATCCAGCCGTAGAAAACAAAGAGCACCTTTTTGGGCAGTTGACTTTGAAAGGGAACAGAGGACTACTGGAGGTCGGCTATAGGAGTTACATGCCCAAGATGGCAAGTATAAACGCAGGTCATCCATCTAATCCTTCTGGAATAATTGTCCGACGGCTTGGAGCCGGGGCGTTGGTTTTGTCACAAAGAAACTAGGGAGCAAAGCAGTGTCATTGATTGATTCAATAACTTACTCACTAGCGTGCAGTGCTCGTGCTCAATCAAAATCACGGGTCTGCGGAGTATTGCGAACACGCGCCTTGATTGGATAGCATGAAATGCAGAGAATGCGATTGAAGATATTGAAGAGCGTCTCGCTGTTGCTTGGCCCGAATCCTGGGACTCAGATGCTAGCTCCTTGCGCGGTCCCGCTGGTGGAAACGCAAGCTCCTTCGCTGCCCAGGCTCGATTAAGCTTATTTCAAAACTCAGCTCGCGCTTTCAAAAAGGAAACGTCTCTCCAAATGCCCCTCTGTTGGGCCTCATGTCAGTTGTGACTGAGCCTCATTTTTGTTTTCTTGCGGGCTACAGATTTGAAGATCCAAAATTTCACGAATTGTTCAATGATGCTACAGGTGAAATTGAAACATGTCATTTATCAAGGGCAACTAAAACACAGATGCATTAATCCCTCTGTGCAAGTAGCACAATAACCAAACAAACGGCTCGCTCAGCTTGGCGTTGTATGCCTACAGCAAAGAAAAGAAACTACGCTCGTCATGCTCGTCCAGACCTAGCAGCTAGCAAATCAAACGCACCCACTTCTCGACCCAGTCACCTCTTCCTGCACAAACAAGTGCTCAGCCCATCAGCTCAGATTCAAATCGAGCAGTCAACCCCAGCCACCCACGCCATGCTGCAAGCCAATAACTTCTCAATGTCGGAAGCTGTAACTTCAGCTCAAGCTCGGTTCAAACCACTAAAACGTAAACGAGGGATCAAACAATCAGGACTTAACATGGAAGTCCTACATTCAGTGCAAGCATTTGCAGGCACTAGCCCTCAACATCTCCTCGATTTTGACCAGTCCTGTCTGTCCAGCGTTCACGCACCATTGCTTCGAAGCGCCGCTGCTCTTGCGGACCCTTGTGCGCCTTCGCGGGGTGATTGGAATCCCTCCTAAACCTGTCGGGAGACTTCAAGTCTATCGCCATGAGACACACACACACACACATGCACGTGAGGTATCCTTTGCAAGGAAACGTTGAAACAGCCCAGGCTCTTCAAGATTGAGTTTTAGGCGCCCGTCGCAACAAAATACTTGGAACCAGTGAAACTTAAAACGGCAGCGCCTGCTTGTCGACGTTGCGGGCATCAATGGGTTCTGCCTAGTTACTTTAAACAAGGGGAAACAAAAGAAACAGCGATTCAGTCCGAAATCCGTCATAACTAAAGCACAGAATCCACATACCATGGACAAAAGCTTGGCCTCTTGGGCCGCCCTTCCCCTAGAATTCTGAAAGTGAAAGAGCATGTTCGGCCCTTACAACTTAAGCCAGGGTGACATTTCACTCTGCCGCACCTGCCACACAAAATGCACCCTTAGATCTGCTGTTTTGTTTTGCTACACAGCCTTAAGACGGCAAACCGGTTGTCCTCAAGGACTTTTCACATCACTATTTACCAAACATTATTCTGCAAAATCCCACAAGCCCGTCCGCGATCCTCTTCGCAGGCTGCCAGGAGTTGAGTCTGGCGAATGGAGCTTCTAACGAAACGAGCCTTGCTGTTGATGCGATTCCCGTGACACATTTATCGCTTGGGGGCTTCCCTTGGTACCGCAGTGGCCCTGTTCCTGCAGGCCTATGGGGTGACACCGCCCCCCTCGGGTTTCTGCGATGTTGCCGGCCTCGACCTTGCCGTAGCAAGCTTCCTGGCACAAACTGGATGCGCTTTTAGGAACATCATATCAACTTGGGTTCAATGGAACTTGAAGCGCAAAGCAATCCAAGGGGCTTTTGACAAAGCCCAAAGTGAGGTAACTTCGGGAAAACATGGCTTGTCCCCATAAACGGGCTGCCTTTTCGTCGGGAGCCCCTACGAAACGACCAATTATGTGTTATTGTCTTATTTATTTAGTTATTGATTGATTCAGCTATCTATCTATTTATTTGTTCATTTCTTTTGGGGGGTACTTTCACACATACCCATGTAAACCCCACCTCTGCAGCAAACATCACCGCCGCTTGGCACGTCGCCTGCGCCCAGGCCAGCAGAACGTCGCGCAAATCCTGGCGCTCGGATATTCTCTGCTGGACACGGCTTGCCCGAGAAAAGGGACGATTCTGACGTGAAAAAGTGGTGCGCGTGGGGCAAGCGGGAACTCACATTTTAGTTGAGTGATGAGAAACCTTCCCACGAAGAACAAAACTGCGAGCAGCATAGAGGGCTGGAACACGGGCCACGGAGCTATCCAAGCCAGGACGCATCTGGTTAGCGCCAAAAACAAAGACTGCTCGAGAATACGGTGCAGCTGAAGCTCCTGGAAAAGAATGGCCGGCAACAAAGTAAGAGTGCATCTTGCACAGTGCACCAATGCAAAGGCAATGCGCAACTCGAGGCTGTTTCTTGTAGAAGGCTCAATCGCCACACAGTCAAATGCACTCTTCTTTTTCTGGCAATGCACATTCATGTGCTCAATATGGGCTAAGTGGGTTTAGCCGCTTCCGCTTTCCATCTGTCTCTTCAATGTCAGGCTTAAAGTCTCTGTGAGGGAGCACCCTACAAGCTATGAACTGGGCCAAAAAGAGCCGCCCATCACAGCTGGAGTGCCATCATTATCAAGTCACACTTTCTCAGTAGTCAGGCACTTCAAATATGATCGCGATTATAGAATCCGAATGTGCGTGTTAAAACATTGCAAGCAAGCAGGCCAACGCTTTGATCCATTTGAGAACACACCAAGTTGCTGCGTCGCCTCCCTGGCATGGTGCTTGTCCATCGCATGGACCGCAAAGCCCCTGGCTGCATTGTCGAAATGGGTATACGAATTTCAATTGGGGACCCGTTGGATCGTATGGGATCATATGGGATCCACGTTTAGTAGTCATCTTGAAAGACGCTTCGCATTCGATTGTCCCGATGCCGCCGCCGATGTATTGACAAATAGCCGTGCAGTCTGGCTTGAACACATGCAGGCTAATTGGCTGAGTGGCAGCGAATCTGTTTTCTCCGACTCTGCGTGGACCATGGACATGTTGACCGAACACTCTAGGATGTGCTTTTATTAAATGGGTCTGCTCATTGACTTGGCCTGGACTAAGTTGTGATTGTGTAGCTGGCAGTGTGGCTCGCCCGACAGACAAGTCAGACGATTTCGCCAAAGCTGCCCTCGTAATTTGTCCAAGGATGTGACGGATGAAGACTGAACAGTTGACAGTTGTGGAAAGCTCAAAGGCGGGCCGGTGTGAAAACTACAAGCTAGACTCATGCTAGTTCATGTAAAGGGCAGCCATCATGGCACCTATGCTCGAAGGGGTCCCACGTCTTGACAAAGCCCATGTCACACATCGAAGTATGAAACACTCGGATCCACTTCAGCACACTTGTCAACTGAAAGATCCTGTTGCCCTGAGAGCAAACGTCCAATAGAGTCCTATAAGAGGCAGCAAGCGTGGAAAAGGGTCTCACCTGTAAAAATATTCTGAGGCAACAAGTAATGGCAGATCGACATATGCAACCCATTGGCCACCAAACCGACTCTCTGGTGACAAACATGCACCCCTTCCAGCTAGCGGGAGCAATATGCAGTACAGTGAGACCAGCACCCACCTCTTTTTGGACAGCACTTTGGACACTGCACATGGAAAAACGGTTGTTCAGGGGTGCTGGGACCTTGTGCAATTTCCGGCGTTGAGTCGCAGCCGCCTTCCTCTGCAAAGTCAAGAACACACACAACCACACACCCACACCCACACCCAGTCCCACACGCACACGCACACGCACACGAGCACGCACATGCACACGCACACGCACACCCACACCCACACACCCACACACACGCACACACAGACACACACGCGCACACACACGCACGCACACACACACACAGACACACAGACACACAGACACACAGACACACAGACACACAGACACACAGACACACAGACACGCAGACACACAGACACAGAGACACAGAGACACAGAGACAGAGAGACACAGAGACACAGAGACACAGAGACACAGGACACAGAGACACAGAGACACAGAGACACAGAGACACAGAAACACAGACACACACAGAGACACACAGAGACACACAGAGGCACAGAGACACAGAGACACAGAGACACACACAGAGACACACAGAGACACACAGAGACACACAGAGACACACAGAGACACACAGAGACACACAGAGACACACAGAGACACACAGAGACACACAGAGACACACAGAGACACACAGAGACACACAGAGACACACAGAGACACACAGAGACACACAGAGACACACAGACACACACAGACACACACAGACACACACAGACACACACAGACACACACAGACACACACAGACACACACAGACACACACAGACACACACAGACACACACAGACACACACACAGACACACACAGACACACACACAGACACACACAGACACACACACACACACACAGACACACACAGACACACACAGACACACACAGACACACACAGACACACACAGACACACACAGACACACACAGACACACACAGACACACACAGACACACACACACACACACACAGACACACACAGACACACACAGACACACACAGACACACACAGACACACACAGACACACACAGACACACACACACACACAGACACACACAGACACACACAGACACACACAGACACACACAGACACACACAGACACACACAGACACACACAGACACACACAGACACACACAGACACACACAGACACACACAGACACACACAGACACACACACACCACAGACACACACAGACACACACAGACACACACAGACACACACACACAGACACACACACACACACAGACACACACAGACACACAGACACACACACACACAGACACACACAGACACAGACACAGACACAGACACAGACACACACAGACACACACACACACACAGACACACACACACACACAGACACACACACACACACACACACACAGACACACACACACACACACACACACACACACACACACACACACACACACACACACACACACACACACACACACACACACACACACACACACACACACACACACACACACACACACACACACACACACACACACACACACACACACACACACACACACACACACACACACACACACACACACGCGCACCCGCTCACACGCAACGTTGGCAAAAGCTTGCCGAGCGAGCCAGACTTTGCCGACGCTATGCTCAACATCCCGCAGGGTCTGCATGACCTTCCGCTCCTGGCAGCATTACTCAGTACATGATCAGCTGAATAAATGAAATGAGTTCCAGATTGTCCGAAAGGAAAACACAGATACGAATGGCGCTGTCTTCTTTTTTTGTGGGGGGGAAGCCATCTGTTGGTTGGTTTTGAGGGAAACTTTTGGGAGTTCCCCCTAACAAAGACACCCCCACCTGCTCCGATATTTTCTGTTTCACATAGTCACCCCACTAGCGTCATTCCCCCGATGCAATCAGCTAAGTGGAATCACGTGTGCACAGAAAAGGAATTGAGAATGTGAGATTTGACTAGGCTTGCGCCTGGGTGATGGCAGCATGTTCCCAGTGGGGTCCGTGGTCAGTCTGGGCCAGGATTCAGTTTTGGGCTTTGGCTGGCTTTAGGATTTAGTTTCAGGATATGCCCCTTTCTCGTCGGTCCTCGCCATTCCAGCGCTGACAGGCCTTTGGGCAAGCCGGACAGGGGATTTATTCACGAGTGAGGTCGCTAACCTCCCTCTGTCCGGTCACAATTTGGTCAAACCGATGAACACCGAATCTAATTCAAACGGAAATGATGATGTCTCCGAACTCTTCCATAGTTTGCAGCTGACCCACTTCCAATATTTTCGACATGCGCCTGGGGACTGCACCAAAGCGCACCCTTTGGAAGGAATCAACCAGGCAAACATGGCGAGTGGATTCAACGGTCGACACTTTTATGGCTCAACAAAAAATGTGTTAACGGCTACACTGTGAGCAATGCCTCTTTGAGCGTGGACCGCTACAGGCCATGTGGTATTCTCCGAGCAACGAAGCCTTCAATAAAATAATTTGAGGGGACTTCAAGCCCTGATCATGCCGGTGTCTCCTCCAATGTTGTCATGTTCCTCTCATTCTCAAGCCGCTTATAGCATTATAGGCAAGCAGGTCGTGGCCCCCAAAAACAGCATCAGCCGCTTGCATGCGTGTATGAGCAGAAAATGTAACCAAAGAGGTCGCCGGTGTTACTGAAGGCCATCTGTCGTCTTAAGGCCTTCAGCGATGACGCAGTGTGTCAACAGGCTGCACCAGCATCAGACGTTACACCACCCATGATTTGGGAGTCTGGGAGTGTCTTTTGTTGAAGGCAATCCCAGTTTGTCATGGGCTGTGGAGGGAGGAAAGGCGGGATGGAGCCCTCAATAAGGCCTTATTTGGGCTCCCTCCCCCCTCCCTCCCCGCAGCCCACCAATCGGAAACCAGCATTTTGTGTTGGGGGGGGGGTTCCCCCTTTGTAATTTGTACACTCGGAAGCACACTCGCACAAAAATGCCACCAATCAGAATTTGACATTCCATGATCGCAAAGCAGCTTCAGAAATAATGATGCGCCGAAGCCTCTTTCAACAATAACATGGACTGTCAACAACATCAAGACACGTTTGCTACAGTTCACGACCTGCATGTCCTGACCTGTACCCTAACCCTTGTGGCTGGGCCCGAACAATTCAGGTCGCGGGTCAAACCAAAACAAACAGGCCCCCTCAGTTCAGCGGCACGTTGTCCGCAAAGTCACTGAGCCGAGCCCTGTCCATCAGCAAGTCGAACACATCTTGGTTGCTACCCAGTGGTGCCTGCCGAGTTGGGGAGCCCCTCACCCACTAGAAAATTCCCAGTCATCAAAGTCCCTATATTTCCCCTTAAAACCAAGGAATGCTCACCTCACTTGGCTGTTTTGGAACCAAACAATCGCTGACAGCGGACGTCTGGGCTCGCCCGGCACGCTGCACCTCGAGCTTCAGCATCTCCACCTGCCGGAACCTTCGGCGATGCGCCGGCCCTTTTGAACCAATGTATATATATATATATTATAACGCTAACCCCGGATTAATAAACCCCTGGTTGATTACTAGGGTTACTAGGGGGGTGTCCCCTTTTAGTGGGGATTCATCACTTTTGGAGGGAACACCCCCCTAATGATGGGACGGGTTTATTAATCCTGGGTCAACATTACATGTGCACTTAGTTTCAATTTCCCGCTAAATGAATTCCAAAAATGAGTTCCTTTTCGATGGTACACACATTGATTGGGGAGCCAAACAGCCAAGACTCTTGGGAGCTGGGCTGTGGTTGGCCTCTAAACGAACAACCTCAGCCGCGAGACCACTCGAACAAATGTTTGGATCCCATCCAACAAAACACCAAACCACAACAAAGTCCCCCTTGCCTGGTTTGGGGCATCTGTGCACAAGCTACTGAGCATGTCTACCCCCCATGTGCCACAACAAGTCGCCTGCACCATTCCGCATTCAGAAATGCACTCTTCCACACATGAATGTTGCAATTGCTTCAGTGTATGATATGATGTCAAAGTTGCACCTGTCGGCTCGATACAAACTCATCCGCCTCCAAAATGTAGCAATCCAAGTGCCAACGTGTCGGCTTCCATGATCATTGATAACAATGGGTCGAGTTGTGTTCGTTCTTGCCCCACGCCCTCTTTATGACCAAAACTCCTTGCGTGGGTGGGCCATGGGAATACGCATGGTGTTTAAATTACCCTTTAGGGGGTCCAGGAACATCCCTACCATCCTTCAAACAAAGGGATCTTGACCAAGTCACACATCACAACAAATAGCTGCCGTACAATTGGGACTAAGACTTCATTGCAAGGCTTCGAAGCAGTCAACGACAAACTTGTGTGAATATGTACCCGGATTCTTCCTTGCGAGCCATGGCCTGCTCTTTTAGCCAAAGCGAGTTCCATGGCTCCCGCAAGTGGCTTGGGGCGGGCCCTCAGTGTGGTCTTCGACATGTCTTTTCTTGGGGAAGGGGACTCGCAGGATGGTGGGTTTTCCCTGGGCATT